CACACACACACACACACACACACACACACACACACACACACACACACACACACACACAGGCTCTTGATGCCCTTCCTCTCTCCCTGCCTCCCTGGACCTTTCCTTTTCTGTATTTCCAATGTAACAATGCCTGGATGCTCAGGCTCCTTCCAAGTCTTAGCTCTTCCTTGTTCTTACTCTGTTCAGCACAGTAGCAGACCAGCTGAGCTAGAATCTTTCTCAGGCAGTAGTCAGGTGAAGCTCTACATGTTCATGGGGAGGTATTGTGTAACCCTATGCCTTTCCTCCACGTCTCTTTGAAGGATGTCATTTTATACCCACATCCATCATCATTTTCTTCTTAGGAGAAAAGAGAGCAAGAGAGGAAAGACAGAGTGAGAGCGGTCAGAGCATGTCTGGGGGAGGAAAGACATCTTTTGATCTGCTCCTTATACATAGCTCAGACGCCTACACTGGACAGTGCCCAGACTATCAGTGGACTCTGAGACATTCCTATGTTAGCCTAATTAAAAAAGAAAGCTGAACACAACCAACAAGAGGTTAAGGCGCAAAGTCAAAATGGAGAGGATTCTGTAGGCCTCTGAACTTGAAGCATTCAGTGTGAAGGCAGGAGCTGGGAGAAGAGAGAAAACAGAGAATTGTGTTTTTGATTATTTTTTTTCTGATTACAAAAGTAACATATGTTCAATGTAGAAAACCAGGAAAATACAGAAAAGTACAAGAAGGGATTGAAAAAAAAAGAAACAACACTTGTGATCCCACCACCCAGATATAATCAATGTTAACATGTTTGTTTACCTTTCCAATGTTGTTTTCACACATATTCTTTTTTTAATCAAATTATAAACATAGTATATATGCTCTCTTAGAAATTTTTTCTCCCTTAACAGTGTATCCTAATTTTTTCCCAAGTCATTAAATACTCTTCTACAATATGATTTGTTAAAGCTATCTATGATTTTGTGCTAGAGGTATGCTATCGTAGATTTATCAACCAATTTTATGTGGCAGAGTATTTAGGCTTTTTCCAAGCATGGGATTTTAACTGTGGCAGGGTTGTCTGCACCACCCCTGTTTTCAGCTAACAAGCTAACTGTGTTAGGTAAACAAGGTAACCTTCTTCCCTTACGGGCAGATAAGGATCACTTCAAAGGTCTATACCCAAGAGGACCCTGCCTTGACAGAAGTAACTCCTCACAAGCATTCAGCTGTCCTTGTGTTCTTCAGGGAAAGCCTGGCATTAGGCCTTGAGCAACCTTAGGTCTACTGGCCAGGCCATTCTTGAGCAGACGGAGAGAAAATATTTGTCATTCTAAGTCATGGAGTTGGCCCAATTTATTCAATACATCATTCTCAAAAATATTTTTTGTGCTAGACCTGAGCTGGATATTATAGAAGAAAAGGTATGGTTTCTGTGTTTCATAAACTTTTACTCTTCATGGGTTGACAAACATATAGGTGTGAAAGAGTTAGGTAGAAACAGATTATGTGTGAATGACTAAATGCTAATCTGTGGTTCAAATCGCAAGGGCTTTAGGAGGTGAGAAAAGTATAAGCACAAGGTAGAATTGAGTGGTTTGAGAAGACTCCATGGAACAGGTGGAGCTTGGAGGCAGGGTGGGCAAGGAATATTCCATGTGGAGGGGACACAGAGGCCAGGAAGCACAGGAAGCAAGAAGGAGGTTCCTGTGGCTGCAGCTTTGGGAGAGATGGTCAGTCAGACCAGATAAGCCATATATGGGGCACATGGGTAGAGGGCCAAAAAGAAGTTTGACCCTAATTCTGTAGATGTTTCCCCTTGTCCTGGAGGTGTCACACCAAGAAAGGAAATGTCAAGTCAAATTCAAGCTGAGTTGTTTTTGTTTTTTGGTGTGTGTAGGGCCAGGGGCGGTGGAGGATGGTTTATAAACAGAACTTCTCAAAGCCTTTAATATTGTTCATTTATGTGGCAAGGTCAAGAGAGGGGGAAATTGGACTTCCTAAGAGTCTTTGACCACAGAACTCTTTTTATCATGGACCATTTCCTTTGGTGTTCCATGAGACACAATTAGGAGCTAGTGACCCACCGAAGATGTTAGAGCTGGAAAGTAATGCTTGAGGGAAAACAAAGTTTTGGAAGATTAATCTCATGGTAGAATATAAGGTGAGCAAGAGGGAAGAGAGCCCGGATTCAGGCCATACAGTTAGATGATTGAATAAAGCCTCCAGATAAGTGGGCAGGGTTGAAGCACACTGAAGCAGAGAATGGAGAACAAAGCATTGATTGAACACAGGGCTCTGAGGAAGGTACAAAAGTGTCAGAGTTCCTGGGTCTTGCAGGAGCTCGAATAAGCATTAATTAGGATTTTGATTGCAAGAGACAGAAATCAACTTGAAGCAGCTTAAGCAAAAAGAGTGTTTTTTGTTTTTTGTTTTTTTAATGGACCGAATTATTTAATTAGGTTCTTTGTAAGAAATTTAGAACACTACTTTGTGAGGATAAATTCCATTTGTAAGAGCGAACACAGAGCGGAGGTAGCCCTGGAGTTGAGGAACAGCTTTGATTCTTCGCAGAATTTGTGAGTCCACAGCTTTCTGATCAACCTTCCGTTGCTCTGTAATCTCGTATTTCTCTCTCTCTGTGTCGAAGATCTCACCTTCCTGGGCTTACGCAGTTTCTTCTTCTTGAAGTAAGCATCAGTGAGATGTTCCGGGATTTTCACACCACTGATATCAATTTTGGTGGAAGTGGCAATGACAGATTTCTGGTGTGTTATCCACAGAGGAACTCGATTGAGGGACAGAGGCCCAGTCACAAGTAGCAGGCCACTGCTCAGCTGCTTCAGGAAAATGACCCTCTTGCCTCTGTGGCGCCCAGTGAGGGTAAGCAGAATGGTCCCACGAGTGATGCTAGCGCGCAGTTTTCTCACATGCTTACTGAAGGGTTTTTTGCCGTGACTCAACAGCTTTCGAGGCACATCTTCAGTAGGATAATACCTAGGCATTTTGCGACGTTTAACCACCCGGGTACCGCCATTCTTGTCACCACCAACTGGTTTTGTGACAGTTGCAAGAACCTTCACCTTCTTTTTCTTTTCAACCTTGGATTTAGCTGCTGAATACTTCCTCTTGTACAAGGCCTTTCTGGAATATCTGCCCATTCCTCTGACCAGGACGGGGTTTCGGCTGCAGTGGGGCTTCCCCTTCTTAACCTGCTTCACCTGTTTTTTTTTTTTTTCATTAGTTCACGTCTTTTATTAACCAATATACAACCACTTGTCTTCTGGTTTGTTGAAACAATAGGTCAGAAAACATTTGCCACAATAATGTCTGTCAAAGTGGCTGGCCATAAAAACTCCAGCACCACGTTCATCTGAAGGGCACTCCCGACGAAGGCGACTGGTTTTGCCATTCTCCTCCACCTTACAGTATTTCAGGACAGCCAGCTTAACCTTCTTTCTCTTACGCTTGTTCTTCTTGGGAGTGGTGTAAGACCTCTTCCTTTTCTTAGCGCCACCACGAAGTCTCAACACAAGATGAAGGATGGACTCCTTTTCAGTGTTGCGTTCGGACAAAGTACGTCCATCTTCCAGTTGCTTGCCGGCAAAACTCAGTCTTTGCTGGGCAGGAGGAATTCCTTCCTCGTCCTGGATCTTGGCCTTTACGTTTTCTATCGTATCCAAGGGTTCGACCTCGAGAGTGACGGTCTTCCCCGTCAGGGTCTTCACGAAAATCTGCATATTGGCGGCTGGTGCCACCGCAGATGGCGGATCCGAAAAGAAGTGCTTCACCTTTTTAACCTTGCCACCAGCATCAGCCTTCTTGGCTTCAGGTTTTTTCTCCTTAGTATCTGGCTTCTCAGCCTTTTCACCCACCATCTTGCGAGATGGGAAAAAGCAAAAAAAAGAGTGTTTTTAAGGAAATAGGGATACTGCATGAAGAACTGAAGCCATGTACTGGGAAGTTGGCAAAAAGTCCCGTGTCTATCTGGTCTCAGCTACTGTGTGTGTTTGCCTCATCTTCTTCATATTCTCTCGCTCTCCTCTCCTGTCCTCTAACATCCCCTCACCTTCCTTCCTTTCCCCGCTCCCCTCTCCCTGTTCTCGTTTGTGGAAGAAAATGGCTTCCCTACAGTTCCTGAGTTTGCATGTTGCACTAAGTTTGCATGACACAGTTCCGGCTATATCAGAAGCTAACTCTCCATGTCTTCTTCCCAATTTCAGATTTCCAGTAGAAAGAATCTTCTTGACCCAGCTTAGGACTCATTCTGTTCTGACTAGGGGGACAGGTTTTAAAATAGAAACATGGTTGCAGAAGACTTACCCTGTGAATTAGTGTGAGGACCACTGCCAGGAAAAAGTGTCTGCTATAGAGTGATGCGATGACCTTTAACTGAAAGCATGCTTCTGGAAGAGTTGAGCGGGAGAACACTATTGGGTTTTTTTGTTTTAATTTTTTTTTGAATTTTATTTTATT